AATGCCCATCCTGTGTAAACAGCAGAGACTGAGGTAAATGGTGTTTATGGCTGGAAGTGGGCATGCCTCTTCTGTTGGTCTGAGGGGTTGAATCAGTTGAGTTAGGGGTGGGGACTGGGGTGTCAGAGGGATTTTTTGGGCTCCTGCTCTGCCCTCAGCTTTTCAGCCATCCCTGCCTCCACCGGCAGTAGACTACTGTTGCTTGCCCTGTGGTGCTAGGCTCCTGGAGGGGCAGGACATGCGGCGGGGACGGGGGCGGGGGGGCGGTCAGTGAGGATGTGTGTGTCTGTTACCCGGTTCAGCTTTAGTCTTAGACACACCCCAAGGGCGAGAGTGAAGCTTTCTCCCTACTCCCTCTGAAAGCCAAATTCTGCCTTATATCCGTGGTTGGTTTTGGGTGGCCCGAGTTTCTTGCCCTCTCCCTCCAGCAGAGCAGACCCTTGCTTGAATCTTCAGCCCATGATAGTTTCCTGTTTTCCCTTTGGAATAGGGGGATTTTGCTTCCATTCTTCCTCACTGAAGCAATGGATCTTTGCCTGTGCTAAAGAAGGGTGAAAAGGTTTTTACTTCTCACCCAGAAGCAGGTGAATTTTGCTTTTATCACTCCCCCTGAGGCAAGGATCTGTTGCCCCTTCCGCAGTAGCTTAAGGCTTTCTCTCATAGGAGAGGATGTGGAAGGAGCTGAGGCTTTTTGCCTTCCTCCAGCAGCTGCCTTACCAAGTCCTGCGTGCTCACACACCGAGGAGGAGAGCCCTCTCCCATTTCCTGCCCTGCTACCACTTTCCCTCAGAACCTCAGGGGAGGCCTATGGAAGAAAGCTTACCTGTAAGTACAACGCTCCCGTGCCTGGAGTTGTCTCCAACTATTCTAAACGGACATGCTCGCCCACGCGTAGCCTTTTCACTTCTGTTAATTTTTCACTGGTTTCTTCTTACTCCCGTGTCGGTCAGCCATCTCTTTCTTCCATGCTCTGTTAAAGTTGAAACTGGTCGTGTGTGTCTCTCCTTGAAAAGGCGTTGTTTGTTGTTTTTTTTTCATCGCCTTGTAACCTCAGCTTCCTGAGGACTCAAGAAAAGCTATGATTTTGTAGATTATCTGGCTATTTCTCATTGCTAGGGTGGGAGGGACGTTTTCTATCTCCTAAGTGGAGACAGAAGTGCTCAAGTCACTGTCCTCTCTTTTTTAGGCAACTGCAACCACCGCACAGCTGGTCCCTGCCTCCAGTTTTGCTCCTCTCCATACTGCACCCAGCATAAGTATTAAAGCTCTATAACCATTAGAAACCAGAAGGGACCGAAAAATAAAATAACTTGAAATTATCTCCATAAAATCTGAAACCCAGGTCATGGTGTGCCAGTTACCTACTGAGTAACAAACGAGTCCAAAACTCAGTGGCTTAAGCCAAGACATTTATTTTGTTCATAAATCTGCAGGGCTTTGCAGGGACAGCTTGTCTCTGTTCCACGTGGTGTCAGCTGGGGTGGCTTGACGGCTGGGGCCTGAAATCATTTGAATCTCTGATAGGTCTGATCCCTGGGGTGGGAAGCCTCACACAGCTGGGGGCTAAACTGCTGGGAGCACCTCTGTCTCCCTGTGGCGCTTCCATAGTATGGTGGCTTCAAGGTAGCCAGACATCTCACATGTTCGCTCAGAACTACCAAGGGACATGTTTGGGGGGGTGGGGGGATCGGGTGGAATGTTTTTATGATCTTGCCTCAGAAGTCACACCATTTGTGCTGTGCTCTATTAGCAAGGCAGTTACATAGGTCTACCCAGGTTCAAGGGGAGGGAGTACTGACCCAACATCCCAATATAGGAGTGTCCCCATCATACTGTAGGATGAAAGGGTGGGATGAGATATATTCACATGTCCATCTTTGCAGTCTGCCAAACATGATTCTATTTGTTCTGTAATAGTGAAACAATAACTTCAAAGAAATTAAGCTAGAAAATATAAATAAGGGAAAACCACAAGCCACCTAATTGCATTATTCATTTGGACATATCATTGCCAAGTGTGAATCTGTGCTACCCTAATCAATTTAATCATGTGGTATCCATGGCAGCCCTAACCATCTTTCTAGATGCAAATCTGATCCTGTCACTGCCCCTCTTAAAATGACCCATTAGTGGGGTGCCTGGGTGGCTCAGTCAGTTAAGCATCCCACTCTTGATTTTGGCTCAGGTCATGATCTCAGGGTCATGGGATCGAGCCCCGCATCGGGCTCTGAGCTTTTCCCTCTCCCTCTGTTCCCCCCACCCCTCAAATAAATAAATAAATAAATAAATCCTTAAAAAAAAAGTTGACCCATTAGCTGTTTCTTGCTCCCACAATAAAATCCAAGCTCCTTAACATGGCTCACAAAGCCCTTCACACCTGGCCTTGTTTATTAATTTCCAACCTCACCTTTTGAGGCTTCCTCCTTTGTCCTTTATGCTCCAACTACATTAAACAACTTTCCAGTCTCCAAACTTTCTTCTGCCTTTAGGCCTATGTACATGCTGTTTTCCTCTTCTGGGACTTTGCTATGCCCCCATGTTCCTCTCCCTCCATTCTCACGATCTGACTGCTACTCATTTTTTTCTGGACTCAGCTTCCTTAACACAACCTCTCTCCTACCTCCTACCCTGACTGGCCTAGGGCTCTCAGAGCTCCTTCCCATATGCTCTAAAGCACCCTCTGCTAATGCCTTGACTCTGCAGCGCTAGCGATTACAGCACTAATTAGCTAGGCCATATCTCTCCATCATTCCACATGGGAAGATGTGGTTTTGCTTTATTCACCACCATGCACAGTGCAGGGGCTCAACAAATATTGGCTCGGTGAATGAATCTGTGCCTTAAACCCATTTCTGCGTTCAAGTAAACAGCTCTCCCACAAACCTAAGAGTGCTATGGCAGTGTCCTGTCTTGAATCTTATAACTCAAGCAGGGCCAAAGCTGGCTGGGGTGGCTTGGAATTCTCAGGAAAATATTGCCTGTTTCATGTGGCTGGAGCTTTTCTCAACCTTGGGGAATCACTGCAAGGCAGGGTGAGGGAGTGGCTCCAGGGCGTTCTCCCTCTTCCAGCAATAGTCCTGGTGGGCAGGCCTGCCTGGGAGGGACACAGCTCGGCAACAGCTGGTGGGGTGTTTGTTTACTTTCCGTGCCTACATCCAGAGCCTATTTCTGGAACAGGACTGGACTCAAGCCTGTGCCATTCCAGCACTGATCTTACCAGGCGCTGGGTGACAAGCGCCATATGCGAGGAGAGAACAGTGGTGGTCACCAGTCACTTAGCTTATCTCCCTGGCTCTAATCCAGCCTTCTTTGGGTATGCCAAGTCATTTCTGCTTTGCCCTATTGGTAATTGTCCTCACTTGGCTCTAAGAGTTAGCATTAAATATTGCTCCATTTGCTCTTTCTGTTTCACTTGGGGTAATAAGAAAAGCCCTCTCAACTCAAATTTTACTGATTTGAGGAAGTGCTAACTGGAGTTCCTTGGGAATTTCCAGGGTCAAAGGAAACAAGTCAGCATTTCTGGCCAATACAATTTTTCCTATGGTTAAATTTCTAAAAGGGAAATAGAACACGAAGAGGTCATTTGACTTGTGATCACACAGTAAGCCACAAGACAGATAAAGATAGCACCCAAGACTCTTGGATTCAAATTAATACCATTTCAATAGCTAAGTCAAGTCTATATTAATAAGTTAGCTTTGGGAGCTAATATCAAATTTGTTTTTGGTAAATGGTGCTTCACTTTTTTTGAGAGCCATCACTGGGGAACCTAGGTGGCTCAGTCAGTTAAGCATCCAACTCTTGACTTCAGCTCAGGTCTTGATCTCAGCGCCATGAGTTCAAGCCCCCCCATGCTGGGGATGGAGCCTACTCCAAAAAAAAAAAAAAAAAAAGCCAATCCTTAGGTTGTTACCTCTAAACCAATCAGAAATCAAAGTTGCAACTCACTGGATTCCCTTCTGTGGCAATCTGCCTCTACTAAAGAGTTAAGTGAGTAGGTAGCTGAAGATCTGGGACCTTCATCCCATACCTCACCCAGGTTTTCACGAGGAGCTAAAAGCCTTCCAGTCCAAAAGTTCCTTTTCGGTTCCTCTAATGCAATTTGCCACCTTCTCACACTAAAATTTCTGTTTCTTAGGTAGAAAATGGGAGGTAGGGAAAAGGCAAAGCTAGAATCTCGCCTGAATTACAGAAACACTATCTTCTGGTATGGATAGATTCTCTAACTGCTCTTTAGCAGAGTGTTTTGGGACCTTACCACTTTTTTTCTTAAATTGTTACCGAGGAAGAATAATTTTTGTTTATCATGCAGGGAGAAGAAAACTCAGTCTTTAAAAAAAAAAAAATCTATCCATCCACCTGAAAGCCATCAGATGGCCCTGTAGGAAGAGTGTGGTCTAGCACCTGAACCCCAGGCGGGGATGGCAACTTGCAAGCTCAGTCCAGGGCCAGATGACTGTCAGTGTCTGGCTTCCTCAAAGTGTCCGGGGAACACAGAGGGTCACTCTCTATGTCAAAGTATCCTACTATTACAAAGCACGAGGAATAAAGCTAAGACCATTAATCAATTTTAAAAAAGGAAAATATGCCTGGAAGTTCCCCCCCTCCCCAAATTTGTATGATTCAGCAAGTATATGGAATTACCTGGTTGATTCCCATTCTTTCAGACAAGGCAAATACTTGATTTAGATGGGAGCACATGTTCTCTGCAGATTTTTAGGGTCACCTTGCTCGTCATTAGGGACTTGAAACCTATTACCCAGGAAGAAGCTCCATGGCGCCTACCCTCAGAGCACTGAGGTCTGGCTTGACAGAGGGTACATGTTAAAAATAGAAGGCTGGCAAAGGTTATCAATTCTCCTGCGTTGTCACGCACTTGTCTTTACCTCCCCACTGCCTGGGAGCATCTCTGTGGGGGGCGGATGGGGGGGGCAGGTCAATGGCACCACACACAAAGCTCTTCTGACGCGAAAAGTTTTATAGGGACAACACAGGCTGAACAAGAACGGCCACGAAAGCTGCCACAGGCGAGCTTGGAACTATTCAGGGGTGGTGTCAAATACCGACACCATATTTACAAGTCTAATTTGAAGCCTGGCCCGTTTTAAGGGCAAGAGGAAGTTAGGGGAGAAATCATGCATGAAATAAAAAATATACATCTACACACAAACACCCAAGTTTTCATACTTTGATCCACTTTCTCCACAAGGAACGAACCAGACAAAGGAAAAGCATGGCCTCTTTTCGTCATGTCCCTATATTTATTACAAACTTAGAGAAGCCCCACATGGGCTGTGGATCCAAGGAGGCCGACTTGATTCTCCTTGACCCCACTCACCCCTGACAGTTAACCAAGGGAATGCTGGGAGCGCAGGCAGGAACATCCAGAAGAGGCAAGAAAAAATATGGCTCACTTAGCTTATATATTAAACCCAAGGGTATCAGTTTCTCCAAATACTTTCATACTTGCTGCTTCACTAGATTCTTAGTGGACTTCTCACCTGCTGCAACAGAGCTCAGGCAAGCTGTGAGACACAGAGGAAAGCAGTATCTTGATCCAGCATGCACTGGGTCACTTAATCCAAGACAGTCACACACGCCAGCCCCAAGCAAGTCCTCGGGGGCCACAGCTGTTTGCTTTGTTGAGTGGGAGGGTGGGCTTCCCCCGCCTCCCTGGATTTCTCCTTGCTGCTCCGCCGAGCTCTCCGCTGTTCCCTCTGGATCCAAGACAGCTGCTCAGCGTGTGTGTGTGTGTGTGTGTGTGTGTGTAATTTATTGTTCCGCTGCTGCTGGCTTGTCCCCGGCTGCTGGCTTCTCAACCTGGGACTCTGGAGGAATCAGATACTGGACCTCCTCTGTACTGATGGCTACTTTATCTGGCTGGAGCCACCTCTTGAAATGTTCCAAGGTGCTAGGAGAGAGCAGGAGAAAAGGGTGGCTGCATCAGACCCAGCTGATTAATTACTTAATGATTATCTCAGTTACTCAAATGCTGCCTTCCCGCCCACCACCAATTTCTTCCTACAATTGTTTTTCACTGCTAACGGGGAGAATGACGATAGTCCTCTGACAGCTGTGCATCCTGGCAACTCGGCGGCATAATTTACCCCCTAGTGGGCATTTTGGCTATAGCAGCACCAGGCCCCCTTCGATGCACAGCCTCTAAAGGCTTGGCGAGAGTAGCTGAAGAGCTTATGCCTCAGTCCTGTCTTTTTTTTCCCCTCAAAACCAGAGAGGAAATTGTCCAAGGGAGGAAACATTCAAATAAACACCAAATTATTAGAGAGCATCTTGAAATCTCCTATACCTGAGGCAGTCTGAGACTCAATTATACTTACAGCACTTAGTTACACTAAGCACCATTTTTGTGGGGGTTTTTTGTTTGTTTGTTTACTTCATCCTATAGCATGTCCCCAAGATGGAAACATCTGCACAGCAAATTTCTCCCACAAAGAAATAGCCACTGTGCCAGAGGGCTCTTTTTGGGTTTGGATCTGTTCCGGGGGGGTGGGGAGGGGAAGTGCCCCCTCCCGCCTTCCTTAAGTACCCAAGACCCTCCACTTTAACGCTTATGAGCTATTCATAGTAAACTATAAATGATGACAATACCGTAAGCCTTATTCTATGCTCTTCAATAGCCCAAACTCTTAAGCCAAGAAGTCAAGACATCACCAGCAGATTTTAGACACCTAAAATGGGGGAATAGTGTGGTAGACAGTAGGATTTCTCAGCCTATTACTCCTCTGCCAAAGGCATGCCATGAGGAGGGTCACCTACCTGGCCTTCACATACCTGAAGAACCACACAATTACACTACAAGATGGCCTCTGTTTAAAACAGAAACTTTGAAGTCTGCAAATAAATGCCTATCTACTGTTTCTGGGGCACATGTTCTAACACTGATAGAAAGAAGCGTTCCCACAGATGGCAGCTCAGGGGAACAGGTGTCCACAGCTCAGGGGCCTACGGTACTCCAGGAGCATTTCATCTTCATCTACCACACTCTTCATAGAATTGTCTCAGTTGCTTCTATAGAAAGGGGAACATCACATCATTGTAGGTATGGAGAAACACACAGAAACATTAACTCGGGCCTTGGTGCTGATTCGACTTTAAAAGAAAAAGAATTCCTACTTGAGCATTATGCAGGAGCAAATTTTGTCTTTTCTTCCCAGAATTGGAAAGGAGGCAAACATTCAAGGGGAGAGAGAATAGAATACCAAATTATTGGTGGGTTGGGAATGTGTGCATCTTCAAGTCTCTTGTGTTTGTGGCAGTTTAAGGCTCAACTGGGTTGAGTCTTTAGAGACAGAAAAGAGCAAAATGTGTATTATTTTCTGAACCCTTGGAAGATAGGTAGTTGCCCTGACTTTAGATGCCACACTGATTTCTGAAGAATCTGGGGGCATGCTGATGCAATATTTAAGATAACGTAAGTGAAAATGCTTTGCATATTGAAAAGTAAAATATAACTATCAAGTTTTATTCACCTACTGTCCCTGATTTCAGCAACCGTATCTTCATCTGACATCATGGGACTCTTAAAATCAATGTTAATAATATGTTGCAAACTTAGGTGATGTTTCCCTAGGACCTATTGTTAAAATTCAGGCTTTTACTTTATTTTGGATAATTTCTTACTGAACTTTAAAATTCTGTTAGGACTAACACTCATAGCTAACACTTACCTAGTGCTTACCAGGTGCCAGGTCTGTTCTAAGCACTTGACACATAGTAACTCCTTTAACCCTGAAAACAACCCAGTGAGGGAAGAGCTACTATTCCTGCTTTACAGAGCAGGAAACTGGGGCACACCCAGGTTACTTCCTCAAGAACATACAACCAGGAAGTGGCAGAGCCTCTTTCCCGGGTGACGGGTGTCGAGCACCATTCTGCTCTTTGCAGCAAAATGTCCTCCTCTCTGCATCCAGCCCACCTGCAGATACTGTTCGAGTCCTGCCTTCTTCTCTGGCACAAACACCAGAGCCCACAGGGAACTCAAGGGTCTCTCAACTCCCAAAGCATGTTCTGTCACTTCCACTCACCTGGCTCTTTCCTTATGCTGCCTTATTTTGTTAGGTATGTCTTTATATATATTTGTCATTTCTCCCCATATAGTTGTGGGGACCAAAAAGAGGGGGGATCCTAAAATTTCCTAACATCTCCCCTCCACCCCAGCGCCCTCAGCCCCATAACATCATGGGCAGTGCCTTCACACAGTAGATGCTTAAGAAATTCATTCATTTAGGGGCGCCTGGGTGGCTCAGTTGTTAAGCGTCTGCCTTTGGCTCAGGTCGTGATCCCAGGGTCCTGGGATGGAGCCCTGCATCGGGCTCCCTGCTCCGCGGGAAGGCTGCTTCTCCCTCTCCCGCTCCCCCTGCTTGTGTTCCCTCTCTCGCTGTGTCCCTCTCTGTCAAATAAATAAATAAAATATTTTTTTAAAAATTTAAAAAAATTTAAAAAAAAAGAAATTCATTCATTTAGTCTATACAAATTTGAATGCCTACAATATGACAGGAACTCTCTAAGGCAATGGCGAGTCACAGGTAAGACACGGTCCCAGTTGCTGATTGGCTACTACTTTCTCAAGCGCACTGTATACTTAGAAATGAAGACAGTGCTTTCTCATTAATTCTGTTCAATCTGTGATCAAGATGTAGGTAGGGTATTTGCTTTTTTGCAAAAATAATAATTATCAACATCTGCTACTGGACCAAGAGCAAACAGAGCTCAGAAACTTGATGTTGATATCAACCAATATCTGGACTCAAATGTCACTCTCCTGAATTCTTTAGAGAAAGAGAGATGCTTCCAGTGAAATACTGTCACCTGGAACTGGACTGAGAACCAATTACCTCTCATCAGAATCAAGTCCATCCACAAAGAACTCTGATGCTAACTTCTCCTGGAGGAATCGATCCCAGCACTCCTTCTTGGCTTGGGCCAAGGTTCGAAGCATGTCCTTGGAAGTCACTTCCTGATTTAAACCTTTGATTCTTCTTAGCTTCTTTTCTAAAGAGAAGAGGAGAAGCAACTTAACAAGGAAAGTGAGTATGAAATGAAACTAAATCTAAAATGCAAGGTGATGGGGGCATCTGGGTGGCTCAGATGGTTAAATGTCTGCTTTCAACTCAGGTCGTATCTCTAGGTCCTGGGATCGAACCCCAAGTCAGGCTCGCAGGTCAGCAGGGAGTCTGCTTCTCCCTCTCCCTCTGCCTCTCCCCTTATTTGTGCTCTCTCTGTCTCTCTCTCTCTCAAATGAATAAATACAATCTTTTTAAAAAAATAAAATAAAATGCCAAGGTGACAACTTAAAATTCTCTCACTAATGAGTACATCCACACTCCCTGCAAAAGAGTCCTTTTTTTTTTAAGATTTTATTTATTTATTTGAGAGAGAGGGAGAGGGAGAAGCAGACTCCTTGCTGAGCAGATAGCCCCATGTGGGACTCGATCCCAGGATTCTGGGATCATGACCTGAGCCGAAGGCAGATGCTTAACCGACTGAGCTAACCAGGTGCCCAAGAGCCCATTTTTTTTAAGGACAGGTAAAGAGAAATGTACATTTTTCTTTTTCCTTCACCATGTCTTAATTCTGTATTGTATCAAATACATGTTTAACCCCAGAAAGGAAAAAAGCCATAGGCTCATAAATAAGTCAACGGCACGTTTTCTTTGAAATCACAGAAGCCAGCAGGTATCTCTCGAAGGCATTACTTGTTTTCCCTGGTTTGACATGTGTCAACTCTTTGAAAATAGTCTGAGGAGTAAATGGTTTTTCTTTCTGCTACAGTGACATGAAGTGGTGTCCAAATCTCATGAGAAAGAATTAGAGAAAATGATGAAAGATCCAATGGTTCATTAGACACTAAAATTGACTTGATGAGAACTCAATAATAAGAGACCTTTAAGATATCTATCTGTGATTAAATTCTTGATTAAAGAAAAGCAATCTCCCAACATTTTTTAAAGATTTTATTTATTTATTTGAGAGAGAGAATGAGAGATAGCACGAGAGGGAAGAGGGTCAGAGGGAGAAGCAGACTCCCCGCTGAGCAGGGAGCCCGATGTGGGACTCGATCCCGGGACTCCAGGATCATGACCTGAGCCGAAGGCAGTCGCTTAACTAACTGAGCCACCCAGGCGCCCTCCCAACATTTTTTAAAGTTACTCAACTTGTGGCCTGGATGTTGGAACCTAATAAAAACAAACATCTTTTGTAATCCCAATGAGAGTGGTCCACATGGCTTCCTTATGATAGATATTTAATTACTCTTCTTTGCATTTTAAGTGTAATTGTGGAACAACTGAAGAACAGAAGGAAGGGGATCACCATTTGCCTTCTGCTTTAATGTAGTCTTGCCTTCAACAATAATAAATGGGTAAATGATGGCCTTTTGCAGGGGGAGGGTGAATATCAAGCCCAGACCCAATTGAAACTTTATGATTTGCAATCCTGTTTTCATTTCTTTTTTTTTTTAAGATTTTATTTATTTGAGAGAGAGAGAATGAGAGAGAAAGAGAGAGAGAGCGCACACGAGAGGGGGAGGGTCAGAGGTAGAAGCAGACTCCCTGCTCAGCAGGGAGCCCGATGCGGGACTCGATCCCAGGACCCTGGGATCATGACCTGAGCCCAAGGCAGACACTTAACGACTGAGCCACCCAGGTGCCCCAGTACGGTAGTTTTTCAATACAATAGTTTCACCAGAAATCTATGTGCAGCTCTGGGGTCATGACCTTTTCTTTCAAGATGGCATAATGTCTGACACTTTTGAGTTATCTGAATATATGGAACACCAATAGTAGGCAAGAGGGATCTACAAAATGCCAAGAAATGAAGCAGAATTCAGATGAAACAGTCAGAGGCAGGAGGTAACAAAGACTGTTTTAAGGGATATACAAGGAAAAGGGTGCTCCTGGGGTGCCTGGCTGGCTCAGTCAGTAGAGCATGCAACTCTTGATCTTGGGGTTCAAGTCCCACATTGGGTGTAGAGATTACTTAAAAAATAAAATCTTAAAAAAAAAAAAAGAGGAAAAGGGTGCTCCTCCCCAACAACCAACCTGAAACACCCCCCCCAGAATTACATCTAACAAATACATGTGGTGAGGACAAAAAACAGTAATTAAGAATAGAGGGGCGCCTGGGTGGCTCAGTTGGTTAAGCGTCTGCCTTCGGCTCAGGTCATGATCCCATGGTCCTGGGATCGAGCCAAGCCCCGCGTCCTCCACAGCGGGCTCTCTGCTCAGCAGGGAGCCTTCTTCTTCCTCTCCCTCTGCCTGCCACTCTTGTGCTCTCTCGCTCTCTCTCTCTGTCAAATAAATAAATAAATAATCTTAAAAAAAAAAGAATAGAAATCAGGTGATGAAACAGAACTTCAACATGCTTCCTTAAAACCACCAGCTTCTGAATCAAAAAAAAAAAAAGAAAGAAAGAAAAGAAAAGAAAAGAAAAGAAAAGAAAAAAAGCCATCTAACTTACCTAGAGATGCTAAATATACTTCTGAATCCTGCAAGGGAGCCCAAGGCTTTGTAGCTGGCTGAACAGCAAACTCTGGGGCCTCCCTTTGGCCTGTGCCCACAGGATAAGAATCCATAAAGGAGTCTGAGAAGGCATTGTTGGCACCATCTTCTTGGTCAGGATTTGGTAGACAGGAACATATTTCAGCCCAAAGATCAGGGCCAGGTCTTGTGGTTGTAGAGTCAATACTCTCAAACATTTTCATTTGGAATCTGAGCTGAAAAACAGAGATGTAAGGACTGGCTTTGAGGATATAGGTTAAGTGGGGCACCTGGGTGGCTCAGTCATTAAGCGTCTGCCTTCAGCTCAGGTCATGATCCCAGGGTCCTGGGATCGAGTCCCGCATCGGACTCCCTGCTCGGCAGAGAGTCTGCTTCTCCCTCTGCCTCTCTCTCTCTCTGTCTTTCATGAATAAATAAAAAAAAAAAATCTTAAAAAAAAAAGGATATAGGATAAGTATGCAGGACTCATATTTGTTTATCCAATGAAGGAAGGTAACAGGCTTTTAAGAAGTTCTCTAAACTTAAAGTGTCTTTTATTGGATTCCTGTTACAGATATAAAAATGACAAAAGAGTAATTGGATCCCTCTGCTGGCTCTGCACTCAAGTTTTCATAACAAAGTTTTTTTAAAAATGAAATGTCTATAAGCCAGACACAAAAGGACAAATATTGAATGATTCCACTTATATGAAGTACCTACTGCAGTCAAATTCATAGAATCATAAAACAGAATGGTGGTTGCTAAGGGTTTGGCAGAGGAAGGAATGAGAGTTACTTTTTAATGGATAGAGTTTCAGTTTGGGAAGTTCTAGAGATGGATGATTGTGATGGTTGCACAATCATGTGTCACTGAACTGCACATCTAAAAATGGTTAAAATGGCCAATTTATGTTATATATGTTGTAACACACACACACACACACACACACACATTTCTAAGACATTCCCAGTGGAGACAACCATTCTGCACTTTTCTCCAGAGATCTCCAAAATGCAACCACTCTGTCCTAAGCCAATTAAATTCTGTTTTCAAAAGGACACAGACTACAGGCCTTGCAGAGTTCCAAATGCATGAGGATAATAAAAATGCTTCTGCCATATGCAAAGCCCCATGTGCTCATTACATGTAGAAGCTCGGCTATATACCTTATTCTTATTTTATAAGTTCTTATTTTAATAGAAACACTGGAAGAGACATTTCCATCAGTTTACAGACGAAGGAACTGAGGATCAGAAGGGTAACTAGTCAAGGGTACCTTGCTGATACATAGTGATTCCTTGACTGGAAACCAGACCTGTGCCACTCCAAAATCCATGTTCTTATCCAATTCCACACTGCCAGGGGCCTTCATAACTATCTAGTCTTACGGAATGGGTTGACACCTTCTTCCAGGAGGGACCTTTTGGATTAGGAAGGCTGGCCGGGCTAAAGTGTGAATAATCCCAGTAGTGACAGCCCAGCCAACGTAAGCGCCCATAAGGTATGTCACAGCGGCCTTGGATGAACTGATGCCAGGGTCCACAGTGAATCTCCACCCCCATCCCGAAGTCGTTTGAACCTACCAAACCAAAACTTGCTCGCACCAAAGCCCCGGTCCTCACCCCACACCTCCCTAGGAAGTCCAGAACAGCGCCGGGAACCCCGGTGTCCAGACCCAGGCCTCGGTCATTTTGGTCTCAAGGACGGGCTGGGCGGGATGAGTCAGGCCCTGAGGCCCCTCTGTGGTATCCCGGGATGGGATCGGGGCCCTAAAACGCTGGGCACCCCTACCCCTCTTCACCTACCGCAACGGCCTGCCCAGCAGCTCACAAACGCTCGGCTCAGTTCCGTCGCTGAACGCTAGGAAGAAGTAGGGGGGCGGAGTCTCCGCGTGACGGATCCCGGGAGTCCTCCAACCACCGCCCAACCTGGCGATGTTCTGTGATTGGATTGGTTGACAGGAGCCCGGCCGGGTAAGGAAGTGAGGAACGAAGTGCGAGAAAGAGGTAGGCGGGACTTGTCGCGGGGAAACAGTGGAGTCACATGCCGTGGCCCCCCACCTTCTCTAGGGACAGGTAGATTCCACTAGCATCTGAGCGTACCCGGCGCGGGGACGGCGTCTTCCGCCCATCTTCTTCTCGGAGAGGGTAGCCCAGTTGCCAAGGCCTTTGAGTTTTCCTGGTTCCCTGAGCAAATTCACCTCCTGGGCAATCCTCTGCGTTGGTGAAATTTCTGAAAATTTCACCCCTTTGCTACCCAAATTAGAGCACTCCGGCTGCTCGGATGGCGAAAGAGACTACTTTCCTTACTCTTACAGGAGACCCAGGTCGCATTAGCCAAGTTGTGAGGCTTTCTCTTACTCATTTAGTCAGTAGACACCGAGCTCCTCCTGTTGTGTTCTAGGAGTTGTGTTAAACGGGAATTCAAAACCGGTAAGAGTAGGTATGGGTCCCAGAGGTCTTTACCCCTAAATGTAGAAGGGTGCGCGCCATAGGGGCAGACAAATTTACAAATAACAGCAAAGAGTTATAGAAGATATGACAGAAGTGTAGCCAGTGTACATGAAGGAGAGAGTGGTAAGGGAATGTGTCAGATTTTTTTTTAAAGGAGATGACCTTTGGGGCGCCTGGGTGGCCCTGTCAGTTAAGCATATAACTTTTTTTTT